CCTTTTCGGGAGTAAACAGGCACAGACTGCTGGTATTTCCTTATACTTCCTATTATTTTTCTTCTTTCTTTAATACAGATCACTCTGGCTCAGCAGGTTCACAAGACACCGCTTCTTGTGTCTCTGTAAAATGCAGGTACCGATCTGGCCATATAATATAGTACAGTACTATAGAACATCTTTCTTTTGGGGATTATTTTCTGCCTCTGCTGCCTTAAGTGCTTTACCAAATAGCTGCTTGGCTTTGGTGTTCCACCTACACATTTTAGAGCCCTGGTTGCAGAATACCTTAACAATGCCCTGCCATCAGTAGCTGCTGGCAGAAACAAGGTCGAGCCAGCAGCTACTGATGGCAGGGCATCGTTAAGGTGTCCTGCAATCAGGGCACTAAAATGCATTGTCAGGTAAGTATTAGCCCCAATCTATTAATGTGCAAACAAATATAGAGAGTAGTACAGTGCTGGTCTGGAAATCTAGTTCAGAGGCAGAAATGCCAGCCTTTTTCTCTGCTGTTCCCAAGCTTTATTTGAAAGCTGTCCTTCTTCAGTTTATGATTTTAAAGCAGTTCGTTCTTTTGGCTCATTAATGCCTCATACTAATGGCAGAGGCCTTTTGTGGATACCTACATTTGCTGTCAGTGCATGGTAAATACTCTTGGTGTTTGTACTTTGAGTACAAATGATGCAGAGAATGAATCCTGCTGTGCCAAGTATTACAGTTTTTATTTGTGCCAACTATTCCAGTATGGCTTCCTCTTTCAGTTGGGAGCTTGATTTTTTGGAACTTGTGGTCCCCACAGTCCCCATAGACAGGTTTTGGTTGGTGTCATGGCCCTCCATGTGGAAGCTGGTGTTCTAAAAAGTTAGGAAGTGGTGAGCAAACCAGCCCAATTCTCCTTGATGTAACTGAAAGTGTTATTAGGCCAACACGGGCTCAGACCTGCCTTTCAGAATCTGAATATCGTGTGTTTAAATTGTCCTGCACGAACTTTCCTGTAGTTTTCTTGGGGAGTAGAGTCTGTCCTCTGGCTGGTGCTGCACTGTAACCATCCTGAAGTGACAAAGAAAAATGACAATCACCTTTGATAACTGGAAGAAGTTGAAGTAATTTAACAATCTCTTTTTTTTGAAGCAAAGTTAGCTGACATTGTGTCCAAGGTTTTTTTTTTCTGGTGTTCTGACTGAGCCTAAAAGTTCCAAAAGCAGAGAATAATTTTTGAAGCGGTTTCTGCCCCTGGCTGAAAACGCAATGGAGTTCATTAGCCTGGAAGTGCTGGCTGAGTCCCTGCTGGGGGAAGGGGAGCTGCTCTTGTATTTTTTGTATCCCATGTGCCATTTTGGACTTCAGGAGTATTTATTTTTAGTACATTTAAACACTGCAGAAGGAAGGGGCAGTTGTAATATGGCATATTTACATCATGCTGTCAGTTCCTGGCAGCTTACTTGCCTGTCGGAGAGCAGAACTAGTCCATTAAGGATGTGAGTGCTACTTAGGCCCAGGGGTGGTGAAAACATCGTCTCCAGGGTGGGAAGGCTCCCCAGGCCAGCAGGTTAGTTTGTTTTTCTAAGGTGGAGTACGGGGAATTTTTTTTTCATGTCACAGGAACAAGAATGGGCCATGCTGCCTCCCACTTTTTCCTTCTTCTCCTCTACTCTGGAAAAAGAGAGGCAAAGTCTCTACGTGGGATCAGCATGTGCTGGTTTTTCCCCTCATGTCACGCTTAAGTTCTCTACCCCATTATAAAAATAAAAATCTATAAATAAAAAAGAACAAATGCTGAGTGGGACAAACTGGACCCACAGTTATGTGCATGTAGTCACTCATAGAAGTGTGCCTAGCCCCATTCCTTCCAGGCTTCATACATTCCCTGTTTCTTACCCTGTCAGCCTCTTAGGAGGGGAAACATGCACAGATAGTCCTGGCTGAAGCTTTTTTTGCCCTACCACAACATAGTATTAATTAAGCTTAGGCTGAAATGTTGTTGGGCTCATCTGCTGTTGAATTAGCTCGTTCTCCATTTACGTATATTTTCCCCCATTTGGGGTGAGGGGAGGGGCGCAAAAAAATTGCAATGAGTTTTGCTGCCACACTTTAATGTCACAGTAATACCTTTCTCCTGGAATTAGGCAGTATTTAGCTCTGATCTCTCATATGTGACATGCTGTCTCTGTTTGCCTCCAGCACAGGCACCCTATGATTTCCTTTTCTTGGAAACTGCCCTGTCTCAGCATGTGGGTAGGAGGCCATGTAAATAAATACCAACCACTTCTTAGCCTTCAGTAGGCATTTCCTTTTTCCTGGTGGCTGCAGAAGAAACACTTTCTCACAGTTTGGCATCAAACATTTATATAACTTTCTTGCTTGTGGAACTTTTGTTTAGACAATCAGATTCTTGGTATAGTTTTTTCATCAGTTTCTATTTTTATTCATCCGTGATTGCTTGGTTTGCCAGTAAATAATGTCTGTCAGAACAAACACTTCATCAGAAACTTCTTGAATTTTTTGTAATCGAATAGTAAATCATTATAAGCATATTCTGTGATACTGAAAGGTAAGTTTAAAAGCAAAAAATTAAGCTTATCTAGATTTTTTTTTCTTAGTTCTGATGGAATAAATCAGCCCAAATGGAATATTTCTGGCGAAAAAGTACTTTTTGTATATAACTTCTCTTAAATTTTTGAAATAGAATACAAAGTAACTTACATTGCCATGCAGTCCAGCTTTCAACTGAAAAAACATATTTCCTTATAATACAAAGTTTAATATATGAATTTATATACTAGAATATTTTTCAAGTGTTTGTCACTTTGTCAAGGCAGCAAAGCTAAAATGCTGTCAACACTATTTAGGACATAAGTTAATAACAGCAAAATCATGTCAATAAAAATCAGTATTAGAAGGCAGTGTACTTCTAATCTTCATACATAAATATCTGATCTGCAAGTTCTTTATTTAGCGTCTTTTGCTATTATTTATTTTTTATTGGTAAGTTATGAGTTTACTTTACTTAGTTTTATTTATCTCAGTGGTAATACTCACTGAATGGATGACAGTGCAGTGTCCTTTCAGGGACAGCCCCCAAGCTTCAGAGACCATATATTCCCTGGAAGTAGAATATAGATCTGAACTCTGATAAGCAGCTGTAGAGTGGCACAGAACTAGACTCCTTCGTGGCAGTTATTGTTAGATGAGAGGGTGAGGAATATACGTATGTGTGAGCTTTTGTGAGCAATAATTTCTAGGACGGCTAAGCCAGAGGTAGTTCGAAAATCCATCAGATACTTTTTGTGTTATATACTGAATTTGATAACTTTTGGATTCAGAAAACAAGACAGTAGAAGCCATGCTTTTCCAGGCTTTTGAAATATGCTTTTTCCTCTACTGAGGCCTGGTATGAGGCTGTCTAGGAAAGTGAGCTGTTATTGGACATGTCACTGTATTTTTATAGTTTCACTCTTAAGGCCTTTCTCATCCAGTTTAGTTTTGCAATCTGCTGAAGCTTAGCCAAGTTGAATTGCATCTGCCCTCCCAGAACACACAGCCTAGTGAGGCCTCCTTCCAGTTCTGTGCACTGGAAGTGACTCCAGTGTATTTCTTCTGGGAAACATGTATTGAGACGAACAAATCCTAGTTTGGATTGTCCCTTTGTCCTGTTTTGTGGCAGACAATAAACCATAATCCCATGCATAGTTCTTACTCGAGCCAAGCCCCAAAAGGGATATCCCAGTCCAGAGTACTCCAGCAAGGGCAGTGGTGCTGGACTTTACAGCTGGCTCTGCTGGTGGCTGGGAAGGACGAGTCAGCATTGCTTCATGATGGCAGATAAGGGAATGTAAAGGAATCCAAACGTCTCCAGCTTTGGTGAGTTACTGAAATTCTGTAGAGCCATCGGGTAGCCAAATTCACAGGAACTCCATTTAGTATCCACAGCACAAATTCCAGGGCATAAAGCCTCTCCCCACTCCATGGCTGCCATGGTAATGGCACCAGCCTTAACAGCACTTTAGTGGCTTTTAAAAGCTGTTAAACTGTACCCTTGTCTGCAATGTTACTGTGATGTGCAAGACCAGAATGAGGGTAGTGAGGGTGCAAATGTCACCTCTCTTGTCTTTGGATCACTTCTATTTAGCATCAGGTGCGTTGGCAAAGCAAAATGGAGGAGTTTGCTTTGGTTTATCCATCAGTGCAAGGACTTCAAGGAAGTTTACCATAATGGAAACAGCTAATAATCTGAGGGCTTTTTTGTTCTTACATGATTCATTAGCTCAGGAGTGTTACTAGTCCTTACTTGGGAGTGACAGGAAGGAAGGAACTTAGAAAAGGTGAAATTACAGCGATTGTGCCGTAAATGAGGGTTGTGATGAAACTGCCCAAGGAGTTGGCTACAGCAAGAGTTAGTAGATCATTCCTATTTGGAGAAATAAGATGGTTACATTAGGGTCTGATCTTGTTTTTAGATGATACATATAAAACCTTACATATAAAATCATACATATAATAGTATGATTTTGATTGATTTGTATGGGGTTTTTATTTTTCAGTGAAGGAATGAAAATTTACTGGTTGGCTCATCAAATGCCACCCTAAATAATTAATAAGAGTAATTCAAGGTAGAGATTGATTTTATGTTACTGGTTACTCCAGTTGCTATGCAGGCATGGTAGAAGAGTTTTTCATTGATCAGACACACTTTAGTAAAGTCTGACCCTTTCCTTTTTAGAATTCAGAGGAATGAAGAATAATAAATGTAGATGCTTATGTGTTTGATGTGGAATTTTTGTAATAAGAAATGTTTTAAAAGGGCCAGTGAAAAAACAGAACTGAAATTAAGGTTTCATTTCTCTTGCAGGTATGTCTGTGAAAGATAAGCAGACATTTAAATTTTGGGTATTTCCTTATAATAGCAAATGTACCAAGGTCATTACCAATTAAACAGAGCTTGCTGAGATCAGGCTTTTTTTGAGACTTCTCACATATTGTTTTAATCTATTCTTTTCTAGGAGAAAGAGAAGAAATACATGCTTCCTTTGGACAACTTGAAAGTGCGAGATGTTGAAAAGAGCTTCATGTCGAGCAAACATATCTTTGCATTGTTTAACACGGAGCAGAGGTGAGAAAATGTGCTATTCTGGAGATACTTCTATAAAATTATTATCTAGCTGAGCATTTTAATAACTATAAGAGCAGTTCTGGTATTTCCACCATGTTGAATACACAAGCAGCTCGATATTCCTGATTTATCTGCTTCTTTGCTGTTGCATAACCATGGGATGAAAGGTTAGTGTCCTCCCAGCCACTCGTGGGGGGAAACAAGTCCATGATGAGTCATGTCGTTCTTCCGTATGGCTGAATAATCATCTCCTGATCCTATTTTTGTTTTCTTTGGCAATCACCTAGGCTTACCAAAACATTCATGACTTCTGTACCTTGTGACCAGATTCAGCTGGAGTAAATCACAAAAGCATCATTGCTTTTCACTTTCTCCAGTGGAAAATCTTGCCTGTCTTTAATCTTGGGAGTCACTTGATTGTTTGTTTGGGTTTAAACACTGCTGAATGGAGAGTGAACCAGATTCCTCCACTTCTCCAATTAATAGAATCTTTGGTTTTGTAGTTTTTGCCCTGCACTTTTCCTTTCAGACTTCATCCTCTGATTTAAGTAGTGTGGATGCCCTATGGGAGCCTGCTCCTCATGCACAGCCAATTCAGGTTGCTGTGCACAAATAAGGCAAGGTAACGTGACAAAAGATGTGCAAGTGACCTGTAAATTTTTTTGTTTTACTGAGGAGGAGAGTTGCATGTGTAGCTGTCTCAGTGGAATTGCATTTTTGCAGATAAGGGACATTTTCGCTAAGTTCTTTTGCAGGAAAATAGGTAAAGTGAAACGTAGGGGTAGCATGGATAGATGTCTTGTTTTCCTCTTCTCTTCTGCTATGTCCCTTCACACCTGCTTCTCCCTCACATCACTAAAGCTTGGCAATACCTTCAGGTGTTCGAGATGATGAGGGCTGGATGTCCCTGCAGAGCCAGCTGTTGTTGCTCCTGAACTGGCTAGAAATAGTGGCCAGAACTTTCAGAAGCAAGAAATGCCCCTCCCTCCTGCAAAGCAAAAGCAAAGCATGTGGTTTCTGGGCTTTTAGGTTTCTGCTGGCCCCAGAAATGTAAGGGTGCAATGTGAGTCTGGCTTTGAACTACCCATGGAGGCGCTGCCTGTGTCTGCTGACACCTCAGCCAGCCTGGATGGGGACATGGTCTGCCGGGAGATGCCCTTTGAAAGTATGTCACACACATACTAGCTGGGAATAAGATTTCAAACACTTGACCACTTGCATTTCTGAAGCACAGAAAAAAGCTCTGAAAAACTTGTTATGTTTTTAAAAAACATACATGATTTTCAGATGCTAGAAATGCATGTGATTCTGATTCTGCTGTAGAGACATGTGAATCATCCTGGTGTTGCACACACGTCAGTCAAGAAAGGTAACTGCCCTGGTGGCCTGATATCAGTTGTACATATTAAGTTCCTTCCATGAGAAATTTGTTAATTTTAGCTCATTGTTTCTCCTTTGATTTGGCTAATGGCTTTGAATATTGTCGTTGTCTTAAATATTAATCATTGAACTGCTGTGAAAATCCAAGAGAAGCATGCATTTCCATTGGCAAGTTTGGGATTTATTTGGGTGTTATATAGCTGGACATTCACATTTTCACTTGATCTTTATACACACTGGACAGCAAGGATTTCAAAATCAGATGTCTAAAATGTTTGCCATGTCTGCAATAACCCTGCCCCTTTGGGCTTGGAGTAGCAGCCTCTGCAAGCTGCTCTAAAAACATCCTTACATCTTCATGGGCATGTTAAGACATGACAGCACAGCAGTATGATGACAAAATACCTTTGCCTTAGGAGAGGCAGTTCATGGAGACAGTCTTCCAGCTTGAAAGGAGGCAGAAGTTGTTTTTGAAGAAATATTTATTGAATTCCAGTTACAACAACAATTTCGCTGTTACTGTAAACCAGCTGATTTTTGATATTTCTAGAACTCTGCCTGCTGGCTCACATTGGTCAAAACAAGATTAGTATTACTTTCCACTGTCTCCTCAATTCATAGATGTGTCAGTAGAAGCAGGAATATTGGTTCTCGAGTAGAGACTCTCTCCCCTATCCCAGATTCTTAGGGAAACTGAAACAGGGAATTGATAAAGATATGTTGAAATAAGGAGCCTTGTTGTTTTATTTTATGGTGACTTGTCGATTCCTGGTTTCTGATGGGGGCGTGTATGTGAATTTGGTTTGCCTTTCAAAATTCATGTAAAAAAGCAATGTATTTTCTGATTGGGGTTTTTTTGTTGGGGGGTGGTGGAGTGGTTGTTTTTTTAATTAAAAAAACCTTAGCAACTGAGAAAGAAATCAGCTTTCAGAGTTTGCCCACTGAGAGTTCTGGTTATGGAACCATTTTGCTATTAAAGATGTAGATTGTTAAAGAACAAAGGCAAAATCATCTGTTCCAGCTTCCATGATGGCATGGAGATTATTCTGTATATCTCCCCCCCCCCATAATTTGCAGCATTTTTTTTCCTTGACTGTGCAAACTTTCTTAATGTTCAATTAAGTTATTTTAATTTCCAAGTAAAATCCCTTTAGGAGAAGAATTTTAATAAGCTTGTTCTCTTTTTCATTCCCAGCCCCTCACTGCATAGGTATTTGCCATATGTTTCTGATACCGTACATTTCAATAGTTTCCTGGATTATGCACTGCATTTTTTCCATTTATGAAAACCTTTCCAGCTCTAAAATATAGTTACCAGGAAAATACTCCTTTCACTGCATAGAAGGAAAAACCATCTTGAGTTAGCTGAGACCTGGGGATAGATGCAGAAGGAAACTTAACAGTATCTGTCATTTTGATTTACTGCAGAAGTCAACAGTTCTCTGACAGGAATCAAATGTGACTGGGTAATGTAGAGTAAATGGAGACTGTGACGATTGATTTCACAGTGAAGATAAATTCTCATGAAATGAACATAATAATTGTGTGTTTATGAAAAGGCTGTGTTGTGAAATAATTAAATTATTTTCCTGTTACTTTCTAATTAAACCTAAAAAAAAAAAAAAGTGAGACGGAAAAGGAAAGCTCTTGGCCTGAAACAGATACAGCATTAGTTAAAGAACAGGAGGTTAGGTTTGTTTTTCAGCAAAAATAATTAATATGTTTAAAGTTTTTGAGTAGCCTGTCTACTTAAACTATGGAAGACCTTTGCAGATGGATTCCTCTCGTTTACTTACCTTAGAAGTGCTAGATACAAAAACAAAGTAAAGTAGAGTGAGTGCCCTGTGATTCCTGGGTAATTTTTGGCCATGTCCCTCTACACGAGTCTGCCTTTAAGCAGCTGAAGTTGAGCTGTGGGTTCAAGCAATGTGTGTCTAAACTTAAAGCTGTCAAGAGAGTGCTATTTTGTGTTAACCATCTTTTCTCCTACACAATAAACTTCTGGCAAGTTTTTTTTTTTTAGGCTGGAAAAGAGATCAAACACATTAAAAGTATTTGAAAATAATTAAACTATAGGGAAAAAAAGAAGGTTTGCATTACTGCTGTAGAACATAATGTGGAGCTGTGTAGGGGTAGCCACTGATGGACTTTCTTAGGCAGAGCTAAAAATGGAGGAGGGAGGATTTTCTCAGTGTTTCTACTCACAGTCAGCACATTAACCTGTGATGTCCTCATTGATGAGTGTATAAGACTCTCGTGCAGAGTTCAAGAACGAACAAAACAAATTCTACCCATTCCAGAAAGTTTACTTTCCTTATAGGATTTCATTCCAAATGCTTTGTCTATTTCCCATGTATTTCCTGTAAAAATTATTCAGCGATTGCTGCTTTTTCTGTTAACTGAGTACTGTAACCCAGGACAGGAACTGTAGTCTTAAATGTGCCTCCCTTTAAGATCTATGCAACGGTTCCATCTCTCCCTAATTAAGAAGGGCAAGCAGTCATTATTCTCATGATCTTGCCCTGCTGACTACAGGATCCACATGGCACTATTTTTCTAGATTCTCGGTTTCCCTAAAGTAATCTCTTGTTGGTGCAGTAGAGTAGTTGCACTTTTATGCTGATTTATTTGTTAATAAATTGTATTACTGTATTACAACCCCATCTAAATACTACTTCCCTTTTCAGTAAAGCAAAGATGATGAGTTAAAAAAAGCAAAACTGTCTTCATTTGCTGCAAGCAGAGAAAAAGCTTCCTTTCCACCTCTTCTCCAGCTCTGGAGAGATGAATTCTTTCTCTTTTATGGGAGAAGAGATTCTACTAGGTAAAGATTTTTATGGTTATAAATGGTAGTTGGCTGAAGAGTTTGTCGAGTTGGTGAATTTTCAAGCCTTTCCTACCAATACTGGGAGTAGCAACCCTCCAATGAAGAAGAGTCACCTGGTGGAGAGTCCCTGATTTTTCTCTGTTCCTCTTCAGAATCATTCCTTCCCTTGGAGCCAAAGAAGTGAAGCTGGTGTGTGAAATTCACCCTTCCTTGCAGAGGAAGATCCCCCCAGCTCTCCCTGTTTTTCACTTTCCCGCCCAGCCAGGATTCAGATGAAATGGAGTAAAGGTGTTGCTTTCTTTTACCTCTGTGGTAGGGGGGTGTGAGGAGCAGATGCAAAGCACGGAGCTGTTCCTTTCTGCCCTCTCAAGAGTAGGTTCCTGAGAGCTAAATGCCCCTCACTAGTCATAAAGCAGTGGGAAAAAAACCTACCACCCCTGCTCGAGAGCTGACTGTCTGGGACAGACTCTGTGTAGAAACAGATCCTTAATGTGACAAACAGATGAATGTCCAGAGGAGAGTGATCAAAAGGCAGTTCTGAGGGCACACAATAGGACTGAAAATAGAACTGCCAGATGATGAGTTTTAGCTACTAACTCCTGAGTACACTCTGTCAGGAATCATATTGCACAAGAAACTGCATCATCTAACAAGACCCAGGAAAGTACATTGTGTTTGCTAAGAGAAAGGGAGGACTATATTTTGGGTGCATGTTGTTGGCTGAGTGTTGTTCTAGAAGGGGATGGAGCAGAAATTGTCTCTGGAACTCCAAATGCACTAAAGCTTTAAATCC